TCTCTGTGACTATCATGAATAAATAAATAAAATTTAAAAAAAAATAATTCGGGTATGAGAGGCGAAGAGGTTGCAGGCGTGTATATAATGGGGTAAGATGCCGTAGAAACAGATCCGCAACGGAATATGGGCAAATCGCTTAACCTTTCTTAGTTTCAATTTCCTCATCTGTAAATTGGGTTATATTTTGATGCATTCCTTGAGATTGGCATTCGGAGAACTAGATCAGATATGTATTTAGATAGCCCAAGAACGTGACACAGTAAACAAATGTTAAATGTTGATACTCTCCCCATTCTGGGGCAGGAACACCCAGTAGCCTATGCTGACCCACTGTCCTGGCCTCGGGTGAGACATTTTCTCAGTATTTAAGCTTTGTCCATAAAAACAGAAATAATAGTGCTAACGTGATGCATTGATATGCCACCTTACAACTCTTTAAACATTTTCATACCCTTTGACTCATTTGATCCTCAGAGCAACTTTGTAAAATAATCAGAGATTAGTAACTCGTTTTGCAGATGAGGTTCATAGGGTTAAGTGACATGACCAAATGACAGAGTCACAACTAGAATTAGCTTCTAGTTCAGGGTTGATCTCACATCCTCTAAGATAACGTTACTAGCCTGAAATAAGTTTAATATAAGCATCGTATATTGGAGAGGGGAGGAATAATATATCCAGATAAAAAGACAGGCCTTACTTACAGACCCTGACCTGTTTGCTGTTTGGTTTCCAGCCCTGTGAGTCAGTGGAAGAAAGATGTCGCCCCAACTGTATGAGTTCCATCTACCCATATCCCCAGAGGAGTTGTTGAAAAGTGGAAGAGTGAATCAATATGTTGTGCAAGAGATATTGTCGATCAAACATCTTCCATCACAGCTCAGAGGTAAGACTCCATAGCTGCTACTGTGCCTAGCACCTCAAAACAACCATCTTACATGTAATTATATCGTCTCTCTGTTCCACCACACCACTAAGCTCCATGAGGGCAAAGAACTTGTCTTTCCTAGTCAATTTTTTCCTAGCATTGCTTGGGATGTATTACATGGGAAGTATACATACACATTGACCTCATTTTCTCCATTATTCAATAAACAGTCTTGATGTATGTGGCTACTCTTTGGACAAAAACCTAGTTTTGATCTTTACCTCTTACCATATGCCAAAATTAAGTTCTGGTAGATTTAAAAGTTATAGGAGAGGGTAGCTTTCTCAGAATGTATGGGACTTGCTTGACCTGTATCAGGTAATATTTTTTAAAAGTCTAGATCTCTTGTTTCCAAGAGTATGCAATAATGGGGGGGGGGGGACATGTACAGCTGCAACACTGAACAGCATATGTACAATGCAGTTATCCCTTGAAACCTACAGATGAACAAGGCAATTTATACATTATCAACAAGATCCCATAATGTCACTATACTTATTGGAAGTGATCTTGTGTCGGTTAGGTTGTTTTGGAGAGGTACATAAAGTAGAGATTAAGACTTAGGAGCCAAGCTATCTCAGTTTGAATCTTGGCTCTACCACTTTGACCTTGGACAAGTTACTTATTCTCTTGGTGCCTCAGTTTCCTCATCTGTAAGATAGGGATAATTGCCTACTTAATTTGTTAACTCCTACAAGAAGTGTTGGTTAATATATCAGCTAGAATTTAACTCTGTCTTATCTCTTCTCTGCCTTCCCATCATGGTTGCTAAATGGCAGCTCCTAGCTCTGATTTCCAAAGGTAGAAAGGGTGATTTTTTTTTAATCTTTTAAAAGATTTTTTCTTTTCTTCTTTCATTTTATCTTTTTTTCTTTCTTTTTAAAGCTTTATCAGAAGCCTCCCAATCAGTTAGCCAAAACTGATTTTGCCTGTTTCCCTAACTATTTACTGGTAAGGGAAATGGAATCACCTAGATTGTCTAAATTGATCAAGATTATTGGGGCACCTGGGTGGCTCAGTTGGATGTCTGTCTGCTTTTGGCTCAGGTCATGATACTGGACTCCCAGGATTGAGCCCCACATCAGGCTCCCTATTCAGCAGGGAGTTTCCTTTTGCCCTCACCTTCTCCCCATCCCTGCTTACTCACACTCTCTCAAATAAATAAATGAAACCTTTAAAAAAAAAAAAAAAAAAGATCGTTATTTAGGAGCCTCCCCAAACCTAGACGTATCACCATTTGGTAAGCAAAGAAGGCAGAGTATGGAAGTCAATGTGTAGGTGGCTAGCCAACAGTATCCACTATAGAGGAGAGATAGACTGTTCTCTCCATACTGTATTGATATGTGCATCACCAATTGCCTAGGCTGCCCACTGTAGCAAATTGTTCTTTGGGTATTATAATGCATCATTTTTTTAAATTTTCTTTTTTTCTTTAAGATTTTATTTATTCATAAGAGACACAGGCAGAGGGAGAAGCAGATTCCCTGCAAGGAGCCTGATGTGGGACTCGATCCTGGATCCCGGGATCACACCCTGAGCCAAAGGGAGACACTCAACTTCTGAGCCACCCAGGCATCCCATAATGCATTATTTTTTAAATAGATAATCACTCTCTTTAAAGAGTTCTTTTTATAATAATTTCATTGCTTTTGGTGTTTAGAATCCTAATTATAAGTTCTACAAGATCAAATTGTTTAATTTATTGAAAAAGTATTTACTAACAATATACTGTGTGCCAAGCACTATTCTGGGTACTGGATATACAACTGTAAACAAAACAGACAGGTTCACAGTTTTTTCTCAAGGTTCTCAACAAGGAATAAATAAATATGAGATATATCAGATAGTTGCAAGTGCCAGGGAGAAAAATAAGCAAGATAAGATACAGTGTGGTGGGTAGGAACTACATTTTATGTTGGATGATCAGAGAAGGCTTGCTGATAGGTGACATTTGAGCAGAGGCCTTAGAAGCAAGGAAGTGAACTATGCCAATTCTCATAGGCATTCTAAACAGAGAGAAAAGCCAGTGCCATGTCTCTGAGGTGGGAAAATGCGAATATGGTTGGAGTGGAGTAAGCTAGGGAAAGGGAGATCAGGGGAGAAGTGGTGCAGATTCTCCTAGAGTTGTGCTCCTCAAAGTGTGGTCTTCAGACTAGCAACATTAGAATCATGATTTAGGAACTTACTGGAAATCCAAGACCCAACCCATAACTACTGAATCAGAAAATCCATTTTTTAAGACGATCTCCAGGTAATTCGGATGCACATTTAAGTTGGAGGAGCACTAATCTAGAGCCTCGTAGGTCATAGTAAAGATACAGTGTCAGTGTAAGTTTGAAAGCCATTGGGTTTTGAGCCCAGGAGTAACACGGTCTGACATTTTAAAAGTATCGCTATTCTGTGAAACAGAGTATGAGGGCCAAGGGAAGAACAGGGAGACCAATGGAGAGGCTAATACAGCAGTACCAGTTAGCGTGCCTGGAGTAATAGCAGTGGAGGTAATCTGAAAAGTTAGGTACTAAACAGATAGATGTTGAAAGGAGAGCAAACAGGATTGTTGATGGATTGAATTTTAGGGTTAAAGAAAGACTAGCGTGATGACAAGGCTTGTGTAAGAATGGAGCTGCCATTAACTGAAATGGAGTAGAATATGAGAGGAGCAGGTTTAGTCAGTCTATTGGTTGTAGAATTGTGGAGTTCAGGGGCACAATGTGATGAGAAACAAGATATTTGCATAGATTCAAAGTATCCCCCCACAAGATACTTAATTACTGCAAAGCAGAAAATAGTAACTTACACTAGAGATACCTGGCAAACACTACCAAGTGGTCAAAGTTAACATAGTAATAAGGCAATGATACCATGTACTCCTTGGTATGATGCATTGAAAGAATCCAGCATCCCTTCTACAGTTATGTTGCCAAAAATGCATAACCTCATGAGAAAATAGCAAACAAACCCAGACCAAAGAACATTCTACAGAATAACTGACTAGCACATTTCAAAAGTATCAAAATTGTGAAAGACAAAGACAGAAGAATAAAGTGACATGACAGCTACATGCATTGTGGGACCCTGAATGGGATCCTGGACCAGGAAAAGGACAAATAGAACAACCAACAAAATTCAAATAAAGTCTGTAGATTCATTAATGGCATTCAGTTAGTGTTAATTTCTTAATTTAGAATAGATTCTTGAGTGGTGGTTATATAAGATGTTAACATTATCAGAGTGAAAAGTGTAAGAACTTTGTATGGTTTTTGCCACTTTTGTAATTTCAAAATTAAAAAAAAAAATAGGTCCTCACTATTAACTACACTGGACAAGTCACTCAACCAGTCTGAGACTTCATTGCTTTTTCCGTAAAATAGGCATAATACCATCTGCTTTATCTAACTCACAGATGTCATGAAACTCAAGTAAGGCTTTCATTATAAAACATGACAAATGTCAGATATTATAATAGGTTTCATCAAATGAGCTCTTTTGGTGGATCGACCAATAAAAGTAATTAACTCGGTTTTCTGCCATCAATAGAATTTACCAAAAAGGCTTCTCTCCTCCATATTAATTAGTTTCTTTCATCTTTATAGCATTTCAGGCTGCCTTCCGAGCTCAGGGGTCCCTGGCTATGCTGGAACACTTTGATACAGTCTACAGCATTCTACAGTAAGTATAAAGCACCTAGCTGGTACTTTAAGAACCAGTGGCTAGTTAACCCTAACTTTGCATGTTAGTCCTGAAATTCCAAATTATAGATGCACTGACAAAGGTTCTGGGTGCTGAGATCCCTACTAATGAGCATTGACCCCAACTTAACACCACATTCATTCGAGCAATTTCACAGATATTTTTAAGTATTAGATTCTTCAGGTTTGATCTGATTTAGAATGGGATCTGCAGTTTCCTGTCTTAACCCCCACACTTTCTTTCCCTCGTAGTCACTTTCGAAGTATAGATCCTGGCCTCCAGGAAGATACTCTGGAATTCCTGATAAAAGGTATCTGTGGGTCAGGGGTTAGGTAATGGAAAGTGTTTGTCATTGTTTGTTTACTCCTGTATTTTGTCAGCCATGTGATGATATCAAGGCTGTGGTGATTCAGTTGGTTTGGCTAAGCCCGGGGACCTTTGACCTATTAAGGTCTGTAATCTTGGTGGGCAATACAGAGTTATGTGTGTTCGCTGTAAGGGCAGACCAACAAGAAATATTTCCTACTTTTGAACTACCTCTCTTTAATAAGAGGGTTCTTCCAGTTGCCAGAGAGAAACTAGGGTAGCTGGAGTGAGAGAGTGGGGACAGGGCATGTTCAGGGTAAAGAGGTCAGGGGTCCCAAAGGATTTGGCTTGTGTTGTGGCCACTGAGAGATGAAACACAGATCTTTGGTAATCTGATGGCTGCAAATGCAAAAGGTGTTTTGAAGTTGGGGTGTGTGAGGAAAGTGAATGAAGTTGACTCCAGATTCTGCCCCTTGTAGTGGTATCCCGTCATTCCCAGGAACTTCCCGCTATCCTGGATGATGCAGCTTTGAGTGTGTCAGACAGGAGTGCCCACCTAAATGCTCTCAAAATGAACTGCTATGCTCTGATACGCCTCTTGGAATCCTTTGAGACCATGAGCAGCCAGACAAGCCTCATGGACCTGGACCTTGGGAAGGTAATTGGCGGTTTCTGGCTTACTTAATATGGGGCCTGGAAAGGTAGGGAAATGGAAAGAAGGGAATCCAACAGTTCTGGCAATCTTTTCTGTCCTTACTTAGGGTTTATGGGGAAGTATTCAAAAGTATCACAGCATATCCTTCCCTGACAAGAACCTCCTCTATATTTTAGAGCTTGTAATACGTCTTCTGTGTTAGTTTCTACGTTGTCTCAACACTGGATAGTTTAGGCACTCGGACTAGCAGATCTTAATCTGCTTTTGTTTCCTTATATTTCCCTAAATATATGATCTTTTTCTAGGGGAAGAAAGCCCGGGCCAAAACAGCCCATGGCTTTGACTGGGAAGAAGAGAGACAACCAATTCTTCAGCTTCTAACACAGCTGCTCCAGTTGGATATTCGTCACCTGTGGAACCACTCAATAATTGAAGAGGAATTTGTCAGGTGGGTGGTTAAGATGCCTATGGGTTAGTGAGCTGTGACGAACAAGGGCTTTGTTGACAGACATCTTTCTGAATACTTCATTTCATGCCTCACTTCTATATGTAACACATAGAAGTATACTCATAACACTGAGTTGTTAGGAAGTAGATAATAAATGTTAGAAACTACCGTGAATTTTTCATCTTTAATCCCATTAGTCATTCATGACACAGACTTTACTGAGTGTCTCCTGAGCACATGGCTGGTATGTATGGCAGGCACTGGAAACAAAAGTTTCTACCCTCTTAGAGTTTATAGACCAGAAAATGATTTTTTAGATAAGTAAAATATATGGTGTGTTTTATAGTTTATTATTGTGGAGAACAGTAGGGGTGGGGGGGATTGGAGAGTTTGATGGAAGAGTTGCAGTCTTAAATCAGCTATCCTAGCAAGACCTCTTTAAGTGGTGACATTTGAGCAAAGATCAAGAAGAAGCCCGGTGAGCCATGAGAGGGTCTGGAGGAATAGGAAAGTCAAGGAATAAAACCATAGGTACAAAGAGCCCAAGGAGGGCATGTATCTGGCATGTACAGGACAGGGAATAGCAGTGAGGCCAGGGCAGCCACGCAGTGAGAGGGACACGCTATGAAGTCCCAGAGGTGGTGGAGAGCCAAGTGTGTAGACCCTTGGCTGTTGTGGTGATTTTGGCATTTTCTCAGCATGAGCTGGGGCCGCTCAAGGATTCAGAGCAGAGCAGTGAGGTGATCTGACTTGAATTTTAATGGGATCATCAAGCTCTGGTTACTGTTAGGTTACTATGAAGGGAAAGGAAGAAAGCGGGAGACCAGTTAGGGGGCTGTTGCAGTGACTTGGGCAAGAGATGGTGGGAGCTTCAACCCAAGAGTGGCAGTGGAGATGAAGGGATGTGCATGGATCCTGTACCTGTTTCCCAGAGGTAGAGCTTACAGGATGAGCTCACAGATGTGTGTGAGATTTGAGGGAGAGTGCAGTCAAGAATGACTCCCCCAGGATATGTGCATGAGCATTCGGAAGAACAGAGTTGCCAATAACTGAAATACAGGCAAGGCTATGAGGCATGTTTTGGGGTCAGGTGGGGGGAATGGGACGGGGGATGGACAATTAGAAAGAAGTTCTGGGATTTTTGTTTTGTTTTGTTAAAGATTTTATTTATTCATTCATTCATGAGAGAGAGAGAGAGAGAGAGAGAGAGAGAGAGAGGCAGAAACATAGGTAGAGGGAGAAGCAGGCTCCATGTAGGGAGCCCAGTGTGGGACTTGATCCTGGGACTCCCGGATCATTCCCTGAGCTGAAGGCAGATGCTCAACCACTAAGCCACCCAGGCATCCCAGAAGTTCTGTTTTGGATACAAAGTTTGAGGTTCTTACCAGACAACCTAGCAATGTTATCTGACTCCGATGTTGAGTGTACAAATCTGGAGCGCAGGAGGGAGGTCAGCTAAGGTACTCATTTGGGAATACAGTGTATTTATATAAATGCTATCTATGGCCCCAAGACTGAATGAGATTACTAAATCAGTAAGTGTAGCTAGAGGAGAGCAGAAATCCCTATTGTACCCTGGGGAAGGGAGTCTGGCATGTGGCCAGAAGAGGTTTCCAGGAGAAAGGCATGATCAGCTACATCCCATGCAGCTGAATGGTTGATCAGATGAGGACTGTGAGAAATCTTTGGTTTGGGGGATCCCTGGGTGGTTCAGCGGTTTAGTACCTGCCTTCAGCCCAGGGCGTGATCCTGGAGTCCCAGGATCGAGTCCCACATCGGGCTCCCTGCATGGAGCCTGCTTCTCCCTCTGCCAGTGTCTCTGCCTCTCTCTCTCTCTCTCTCTCTCTCTCTCTTTCTCTCTCTCTCTCTGCGTGTGTCTCTCCTGAATAAATAAAATCTCTAAAGAGAGAGAGGTCTTTGGTTACTTTCTCCTACCTTTTATCATCTATTTGGGTTCTGTGTAGGCATCATAACTGTTGAAAGTTGGTCATCTTGAAGATCAGAACATCTGTCTAGGGTCAGCAGAGCAAAGCAAATTGGTGTAGAAGGTGAGCAATAGAATGAAGAAAGCTAGAAGCCCCTGACTTTGGGGGCAGGTGAGGGAGAATGAATGATGCAGGGCCTGAACAGAATGGAATCCATATAGCTGACTTCACATCTCCTTCCCTTCCTTTCTTAGTTTGGTTACGGGCTGCTGCTACCGCCTCCTGGAGAACCCCACCATTAGTCACCAGAAGAACCGCCCCACCCGGGAAGCCATAACACACCTGCTCGGTGTCGCCTTGACACATTATAACCATATGCTCAGTAAGTTAGCCCTCTGCTTTGCCCCATATTTTCCATTTTGCCTATACTTTTTCTCACATTTAGTATGTCCACAGGTGCCAGTGTGAAAATCATCCAGATGCTGCAGCACTTTGAACACCTGGCATCCATACTGGTGGCGGCTGTGAGTCTGTGGGCAACTGATTATGGAATGAAGAGCATAGTGGGAGAGATCGTAAGGTGACTCTTCTCTGAGTTTCTGATTCTCCCCTCCCTCGGGGAAGACACAGAAAGGTGGGAAGTATTTTCTCTGTGCACTCTAGATTTCTTCAGATGTTAGATAGCAGTCTTACCTTCCCTTACTAGGAAGTGAATTAACTTGCTGTGGCTGTGTTTTCTTCCCTGTGTAGAGAGATTGGACAAAAGTGTCCCCAGGAGCTGAGTCGGGACCCTGTGGGAGCAAAGGGCTTTGCAGCCTTCCTGACAGAACTAGCAGAACGCATCCCGGCCATCCTGATGTCCAGCATGTGCATTTTGCTGGATTATCTGGATGGAGAGGTACGTGGCCCCCTGGGGATCTCCAGGGGATTTTAAGTACATTGCTATAAGGCTGTTCTTTAGAACAAGAAGATGGCTTTCCCATGAAGTCAAGGTATCTAAGCATAACTCTTGACAGTTTCTTCCTACAGAGAGGCAGATAAAGTTCATTGACTAAAGAGCCACTTATTATTCCCCATTTCAGTATCAGTTGGTTTTATCCCGGTCTGGTGGGGGGTTGGCAGTTCCACACCTTAGGTCTAGTGAGAGTCACTCAGCTGTGATTCTGAGTCCCTTCCGTTCCTCAGGATGAAGCCCCTTCCGTTCTTCCTACCACCTGGCTTGCCTGCACTCTCCAAACAATACCGCCTCTCAATTCTTTCTGCCTGGCTGCCTCCCAAACTGATGCAGGGCACTCGTAGGTGAATGTCAAAGACAAAAACAGTCCACTCAGTCATCTAATTCACTTGAACTTCTTGTGCAAGACCCCATTCTCTGGCTCCTGGCTTGGCAGAAGCCCCAATCCCTATTCACCAGATTCCGCAGTGGACTTGCTTGGCACCCTGGGGGCTGACTTGTGCTTTATGTCTCACTCTTTGTCAGTAAAATGTGAGAAGGGGAGTGGGAGGGAAGGGGGTGTTTTATTAGTAAAGATCAAAGGCTTTGAGGCCTCCCAATGAAAGGTAGAAATGAACACTTTTCAAATGTGCATATATGTGATGAGCCTTATGGGGAAAATTGTTTGGGCCTCTTGTTTATTTTGTCTCTATATTCTCTGAGCAGACGAGGCCCCTTCCAGTGATCTCAGGGGTAAACCTAAGTAGCTGACCTGAAAAAGTAACAGTTAAGCAAGCTTACCCTTCACTGAGGGCCTTGCCACTTCTTTGTGCCTGGACAGGCCCAAGAGTTTGGGGGAAGGAAAGTTAGGATTGGAGTGTGGAGCCTCAGACCCTTTTTATTGCTCTCCCTTAGAGTTACATGATGCGCAATGCTGTGCTGGCAGCTATGGCAGAGATGGTCCTGCAGGTTCTGAATGGTGATCAACTGGAAGAAGCGGCCCGAGACACCAGAGACCAGTTCTTGGACACCTTGCAAGCCCATGGCCATGACGTCAACTCCTTTGTGCGGAGCCGTGTTCTGCAACTCTTCACCCGAATTGTGCAGCAGAAGGTGAATAACTTTACACATGATAAACACATACAGTACTCTGGAAAAAGGAATCCAGTATCCCATAGAAGAGTCTGTAATTCACATTGTTACTACCAGTAATAAAGGTCTTCCTCTATCAAGGACAGGGAAGCCTGGCTCCATTTAAACCTGGCTCCATACTATGTCTTAACCACTTAAAAGAGAAACTATTTTATATTCCATAGAAAAGTTCCTTTAGAATGAGTGGGTTGGGCAGCCCTGGTGGCTCAGCGGTTTAGCGCCGCCTTCAGTCCAGGCATGATCCCAGAGACCCTGGATCGAGTCCCACGTCAGGCTCCCTGCATGAA